GACACAGGTGACATGGGACAGCACAGGGGCAGGAGACACAGGTGACATAGGACAGCACAGGGACAGGAGACACAGGTGACATGGGACAGCACAGGGGCAGGAGACACAGGTGACATAGGACAGCACAGGGACAGGAGACACAGGTGACATGGGACAGCACAGGGGCAGGAGACACAGGTGACATGGGACAGCTCAGGGACAGGAGACACAGGAGACATGGGACAGCACAGGGACAGGAGACACAGGAGACATGGGACAGCACAGGGACAGGAGACACAGGAGACATGGGACAGCTCAGGGACAGGAGACACAGGTGACATGGGACAGCTCAGGGACAGGAGACACAGGTGACATGGGACAGCTCAGGGACAGGAGACACAGGTGACATAGGACAGCACAGGGACAGAGGACATAGGAGATGTGGCACAGCACAGGAGTCCTGCCAAAACAGCACTGCAGATTCTGTTTTTTTTAACATTTGAATTTAAACATGCTTTGGGTGAGCGGCTGCAGCCTTGAAGTGTTAGCGTGCATCTGTGAGCATCCTTCCTGAATCTCCGGGTCACATGGTTTTCTGGGAGCACATGCTTGAGAGGCCGCCTGCTGCCAGGCCCTTCATTTTCAGCTGATCTCAGAGTGCAGCAGAACACCCCCCCCCCCCCCCCCCCCCCCCCCCCCCCCCCTCCCCCCCCACACGGCCCCCATGGACCAGCCAATGAACCGCGTCTGCCGGAGAAAACAAACACGGTGCAGGAAAATAAATCTGCTGGCTGCGTTAATTCGTAAAACATCACCCAGAAAACACTGGTGTGTCTCCCGGTTTCCCAGTCTGGAGATTCCACTCTTCCAGAGTTTTCCCCAGCACCTGAACCCGTAAACTGTGCCTCAGAGGCGGGACGTGACCCGGTCAACATCGGAACACAGTAGGGGATCCTGCGATCTGAGTCGCAACATTGTAGATGGAACCGCATCGGACAGGCTGGTGCCCCGCCCTGCCTCTTCCCCCCCGTTCATGGGGCTGTAATGAGGGATTTTCCCCCCGTCAGGCTTCTGAGTCATGGCCCACAGACTGGAGGTGTGACTCTCTCGCTCGCTCTCTCTCTCGCAGCTTCTCCTCTCTCTCTCTCTCTCTCTCTCCCTCCCACCCGCTCACTTGCTTAAAGCGCACTGCACACGCTTCTCGGGCTCTGGCGGTCCGCGTGCGCCGCCACCGCGTCAGCAAGCCAGGAGGACATGCCCCTCCGAGACGCGGCGACGCCCACCCGTCACTAGGTCACGCTGGGGCACCTCTTACCCTGCTGTCACTCTCGACGCACCAGGGTGGTGGCACTGGGGACGGGGGGGGAGGGCACGCACCTTAACCGGGGTGAGTATTTGCCATCCATGAGCTCGTCGCCGCATGGCTTGTGCGTGTGTGTGCGCGTGTGTCCATCGTCACAGGTGCGCTGGGGGGGTGGGGATGGGGGGGGTTAGTGTAAAACTGGGGAGAGTCTGTCCCTCCCCCCTAGAGCTAAACAGTTTGCTCAGCAGCCACGCTCTCCGCTTGCAAGCGAAGGAGGAAATGAGTGCGATGACAACTCGGGGTGGGGGGGGGCAGAACCGCTGAGAAAGAGCACAGATCAAAAGTTTCTTTTAACCGGGGAGCCTGAGACAGTGGCGGAGGGAGGCGCCGCCGGCGGTCGGTGCCCTTGATGTCGACAAGGAGCGGCGTGTCGCACGTTCCCCTTCGCCGTGTCGAGGCCCTGCCTCTTTGATCTACACTGCCATCTCCCAGGCGCCTCCGCTGCCCGCTCCCCCCCCCCCCGGCTCATGCGCAGCATCGCTGGCAACGGCTGCAACCTGGGGGTGACTTTAGGTTCTGCCCCTACAAGTTCTTTTCGAGGCTGGATTAGGGATGTAGTCCGTGCCACAAAGGTGCCGTGTTTTCCCTGCTGTCCGTGTGACTGGGAGAGTATGTCTGGAAAACTGCATTGGGCCATTTGGGCAGCTGTCACTTCCTGGACAGGAAGTTCAGAAAAATTAAGTGTCCCGTCGGGCTACAACAGGTTTGTCTCTTTGCAGAAAGAGTGGGGGTCGACTTTATGGGGTGGGGGCCTGGGGACTGACTTGGCATGCCTGCCTGCCTTCCGTGGGAGGGGGGGGGGGGAAGTGTTGGTGACCCCTGGCAGGTGTGCAGAAGCCACCCTGTTTGGGCCTCTCCTTACCCCCAGCCTGTGACCTTTGACCTTGACAAGCGGTCATGCTGTGTAATGTCAGACTTTGCTGGCGGGCTGGAAAATTGCGCTTCCCCGACTGGATGGCAGTCCGCAGCTGTTTGCCCATGCTGAGGAGCATCCATAATGTGGATGTAATTAAAGGTTTGTCGAAACTTCTTTTTAGTGTGGTGGCTTTAGTGCGCGTCCGGTCTGTTAAATGAGCGACTGGTGGATGCTAACAGCCAAAACAAAACACATGGTCATAGAAAACCTCCATCTGCATACGCTGGTCCAGGTGACGAGGGACCTGAAGGGCAGGAGAACCCTTTGGATGGGATGCTCGCCCGTCCTCACAGGGCATATGCATACGCTACAGGACATTTAGAGCCACCACTTACCCTCACCGCATACGTCAACGACTGGAGGGCACCGAGGAGATCTGTACGCAGGGAGCACATCCAGACTCAAACCCACAACCTTGGTGGTGTGGAGTATGTTGTGGTTTTTTCCAAAATATTAGTCTTTTTCAACATGACTCAGTTTAAAGAGATCAGTTGTCAATGTTCAGGTTCCATTCAGCTTCAGCTTGAAGGTGGAGGCAGGTGGCAGTAGGTGAAGGGAGTCTTGTACCCCTGTTAATGGAACAGGAGACCTTTGCTTCGTTTGAGCTACTAAACCACTTGAAAGCCGTTTCACTCCACAGCCGGGTCGTCCTTCTGATACCGCATCTCACATTATCTCCTATGTTCAAGAGGATGTGAAGCTTCTATTTGAGGGTATATGAAGCCCCTCAGCCCTGCCTGGCCTGCGCTGAACTTCCTGTTGCCCTCCCCAGCTCTAGTGGTGTGCGAGTTCGTTACCCAGCCGCCTGCACACCCCCCCCCCCCCAGTAAGGGGAGTAAGGGAGCATAAAAAGACAAAGGTTTGGTGTCGGGGGAAATAAAAAAAACCCCACATCCCATATGAGAGAACCGTACATCCACAGAGGTGCCGGTGAGAGTGTCATAGCGAAACCAGCGACACGGCAGCTGAGCCACGCGTCACAGGATGGCTCAGTTTAGCTTTCCTGCTTCTGAGGTAAAATTAGGGTGCGACACGCCGCTGATCTGGGCCTCCTGCGCCGATCCGCAGAGCAGGGGGGCCACACAGGAATGGCCATCTTAAGGCATAATGGATGGCCCTTTCAGTTCTGCAGCTATGACCCACTTACAGCGGCGTGACTCTCCCACAGGGTCGGCCCGCAGACACACGTCGTCTCCGTCGCCTTCTGTCACGCCACGTCCGTGGAATAAAGCAAGTTAAGCTCAGGAAGTTCAGCGTGGTTCGTCTTTAAAAAAAATAAAATAAATAAAAGTGGACTGCCTTTTTAAAAATAGCTACCCTCCTTGGGTGCGAGGTAGTTGGTCGAGGTGAAGTCCAGAGGAAGAGGCCTGCCCAGCGTCTCTGGGAGCCGTGAAAAGGGGCGGGGCTTGTACTCGTGCCCCATTGTGCCGTCCCAAGCCATCCCAGGGAGTTTCCTCACGGTGGACATCATGACTTTGGATAATAAGTGCTCCTGGGCCAGAATTGGTAGAAGGCCGGCCAAACACTATCAGGCCTACTCTGGGCCTCGTCTCCATGACGACATCACCCAGGAAACTCCCGCACTGACCGCATAATCATTATTTACCTAAATTAAGCTCCTCGCTCATCTCTGACAACTTTGATTACCTGTCTGTCGCACAGAGGCAATACACATACACACACACAGAAAGCTTTTTTGTTATCTGTTCCCGGGGAAAGGTGCAGTACTGGAAATTTTCAAAGGAAATTCTTTGTCTTTGGGTCGTCCTTTCCTGCCAAAGTTGTTTTTCCATGGAAAATTGCTGTTTAAGATGGACTTTATCCGAGTGCCACGTCGCTCGCTGGGCTAATGCGGCCTGCTAAAACATTTTTTTTTTTCTCGTTCGCAGAGGAATATTCTGGGCTACGCCACGTTCTCCGTGGGGGACTTGTTGAAGTCGAAGGAACAGCAATTAACCATTAGCCTGAGGTAAGACTCTGTCTGATCTTCGTCTCGTCTCAACTGTGGACTTTTCTGTGTGCCCCTCTCCCCTAATTGTGTCTCTTTGAGAATGCAGACGGCCCAAGACCTGCTGTGAATTGTTCATCATTTAAACCTACAAAAAGTTCCTCTGCATGTAAAATATTTGTATTTGAATCCAGGCACAATTACTTGAGACAATGTGTCACCGGGGCCAGTTTGTTCTTACTGGGGTCCCACACAGAACGTCATTTTGGGCCCTCAAAGTGTAGTAACTGTTTCAGCCCAACAGAGGGCTCCCACTGTGGCACTGTGTGGGTTGAGGGGTGATACACATCACGGCCACATGCCTCTTGTGGGTTTCAGTGGTCTTACAAAACCTGAATATACCATCATTTCCTGTCATAGATGCCATGGTCTAATTACTGGGTGCCAAAGGACAGGTGGGGCTAGCTCATGGGGTGCTGGGGGGGGGGGTCAAAGGTGGGCAACCAGAACATATTGCAGGAGGCTTTCCCGGGCGAGGACGGTCATCCAGCCCCAGTAAAAGCAGGATGGCCGCTGGCTGCCAAGGCATCTGTCACTGGGGTGGGGGGTGCTCTCTTGAAGACAGCAGGTAGAGCCCAGTTTCCCAAACTGGTCCTTGGGGAACCCCAGCTGCTCCATATTTTTGCTCCCTTAGGCGGATAGTTCAGGTCCAGAAAGTAAAAATCCAGCCCAAGATTTTGTTTCAACCAGCCAGCTCAGTACTCTGTGACAGACTCTTTATACTCAAGTGGTTGGTTGAAACAAAATCTTGGTCTGGATTTTTACTTTCTGGACTTGAACTACCCACCTCTGTTCCCAGCTCCCTACCAGACAGTGCACATTGTTCTCTGGGAGCTGGGAAGGAGCAAAAACGTGGACTGTCTGGGGGTCCCCAAAGACTGGGTTGAGAAACACTGCTATAGAGGATCCTCGATGTGGGGCATGGGGCACTTTTTGGGGGTGGGTGAGCTTGTGGTAAACATGTTTGCAAAGTGACACGCAAATCTCACCTTGTTGCAGTTGCTTACAGATTCTGCGTGTGTCTAAGAGTGTCTAAGTGTTAGATTTCAGGGGTCATGGGTGTTTTTTGCCCTTTCTCATTTTTCACTTCATTTCTCTCCTTTGGGGGCTGAGGCCTCTCTGATTTCTGAGAGGCAATGCCAGCCCCCCCATTGTGGTAATTATCTCTGCGGTGATTGACAGGGGGGCAAGAGTCATGCGGCTTCACCTTGTGGGGCGTAAACAAACGCACATGACCCTCCCTGCGCAGTTCCGCTAGCTCCTAGCGAGACATAGCTTGCCCTCACAAATTTGGGAGGGCAGGAGGCCCTCTAAGGCAACTCTGCTTTTTATTACAGAGGATGTTGTCTTTCTCTCCTGTAGACGTTTGTTGTTTTTCTGTCGATTTGAGAATTAATTCATATAGTGAGGCGAATCCACCTTGTGTGTATGAGAAAGTCAGTGCCAGTACTGGAACAAATGTACTGGCCAGGCCAAGACTTTCATACATGGGGGATGGGGTGGTGGGGGCATGAGTAGGGACAGTGGCGTTACCAGGATGCGGGGGTGGGGGGTGTTAAAAACTGTCAGGCAGCATCACACCACATGCCACAAAAGACACAGCACCTGTGCTTACAGGATATGTATTAATCATTCTTTTTTAGCATCGCTGGGTGGATATTGGCGTGGCACTGTGGTTTGCCTCATACCCCTGGAACCAGGGTTTGACTCTCATCCGCTCATGGGAGTTTTACTTAAACAAAAAATGTTCTAGGAGAAGAAGGAAAACTGACTCGTTCAGAGAGATAACCAATCAGATTGTAGAAGAGGTGGGTCCAAGCAACTCGAGGAGATAGGACAAGCCAATCAGATGTCTTGGTCCTGGCTCCACTAGTTGCTTGGACTCACCTCCTCTACAATCTGGTTATCTGTCATTTTTCATTCTGCCCTCGGAATGTTTTTTGTGTAAGTAAAACTCCCATGAGCAGGGGAGAGTGAAATCCTGGTTCCAGGGGAGTGAGGCAACGGAGCAAACCACTGTGCCACCCCAGTAATCACCCAGTGATGCTAGAAAAGATTGATGTCCTGTAAGCACGTGTCCTTTGTGTAAAACTCCCACAAGCCTCTACCCCCAGCTCTATGACTTTGGAGTTTCTTTGTTTCTCTCCATGTTGTCGTGAGGTTTTCTTCAGGTGTGTGAGTGAGCCGTGCAATAGGTTGGGGCCCCACCCTGGGTTGTTCCCTGCCTCGTGCCCATAGCCTCCAGGATAGGCTCCGGACCCCCGCGACCCCGAGTAGGACAAGCAGGTATAGAAGATGGTTAGATTATATTTTTTTTGAGGGTAGCCAGTGGTGGTGCCAACTCCACGCTTTTAGGAGAAGAGGAAGATTTCTTTAAAGGTCGTTTTGCCGTCGAACCACTCGCTTCCCGCTTTTCTCCGGATCGAGTGGATCCCCCGCCAGCGCCCCCATTTCCGATTTCCTCGCTTTCCCTGATTCCACGTAATCTTCGCCTTGTTTATGTATAAACGGGGCATGTGTGTGTCTGTCCTCAGCCTGGTATGAATATGTATGTGGGCTGAGGATGGCAGGTATCAGGAGAGTTGGCAAAGGATGATGGACTGCAGAGAGAGAGAGAGAGAGAGGGGGAGAGAGGGAGAGAGAGCGAACAATATGACAGCCTTGTTCTACATCCATATTCTGTGGCCCAATTGCAGAAAGTAACACAGGCTTTTGTCAAAGGTGCAGATCACTTTTTACTTTGTTACTTCTTTACTTGGACGCTGGGTTTGTAGTATATCCTGGTCCCTGTGTGCCTCTAAAGCTTGGAAGAAAAGCCCCCCCCCCCCATAAAACAAACACTCACCTCCACTTTTCACAAACCTCACGGAAACAAACCATGAGCAGGAAAGGCCCGTCCGCTGGCTGCCGTCCGTGATACGCCAGCGGGTTTGGATCCCAGTCGCCCTGACTAAGTGAGCTGCATGGCTGGGAGGACATACTGGGAGCGTTCTTTTTAAACGGACGGGGGTGGAGAAAGGGTGCCTGCTGTGTGCTTTAGTTCCGCTTGTTTCTGGGGATTTACATTCCGGATAATTTAAATGGCCCGTCACTACCTGAGCACCCACCTGAAAAATTTAAACGGCAATAAGCCGCAGCTCATTTTCCCAGACATACGGGAAGTAATCCAGCACCGAGAGAAAGCCGGGCGCCCTCCGGTAATTAAGGAGTCAAATGTTAGCTGTCCTTCTTGTTAGTGACCTGGGCCAGACCGTTTCCCTGGAAACGGTTGTGCGGCACAGCATCTCCTGAAAGACTGAATCGATCGCAGGTGGGCAGCCACCGTGCCGAGACTATTCCATCGTCGTTGGCCTTACGGTGCCGCGGCGGTTACTATACGGGCCCCCTTCGCGAGAAGCGTCTCCTCTGTTTCGCGGCGTTATGTCACCGCTTCCAGACGGCCCGCTTTTATTTTTAGCCGCGGTGGAGTCGGGGCGATCGTTAAAGGAGACGCACCGGGGGGGGGGGCTACCTCGCAGCACGGAGCACGTCATTCTCCGCCCGACAAAAAAGGGAAAAGAGAAAAAAAACAAAAAACAAATCAAAGCTCGGTCACACGTCTGTGTTAATAGAGATGAGTGTTTTTCTCCTTTGAGCCCTGGAGCAGTGACAGTAGGATGGGGACGCAGCCCCAGGGCAGATCCTGGCTCTTAAAGCGCAGCCAGCAGAATGGAGCTCAGGGAATATAATAAGCAAGGCCGAACTGGCAAATGGACAGACGGCCCGGGGTCCTGATGGGGACAGACCATGGAGTGGGTTTTAGAAAGAGCCCGGCTAACATGTTAGCGTTGCCCCATGCCGCTCAGACGGCTAAACACGGGGCTAATCAGGTCTAGGCTTAGCATCGTTCTCCAGCGCATGTGTTCCACCTCTCCACCGAGCTGCGCGGCGATTTCCGGATCCTCGCATAGCTGCTTTACATCTCATTACCGTTCCACAGCGCGGGCTCGACCTTGCCGCTACCCGTCCGTCACTCCCGCCGCTGTGCCGCACTGTGTCACATTTGTCATAGAAACGGGACATTGAACAAAGCTATATTCCTTATGTCACCGTTCGGATGTGCGTACGTTTCCGCCGTAGCAATCAGCAGGGCAGAACATCTGCAGAACGTTCTGGGTGATGGAGCGCCTTGGTGCCGCTGGATGACGGGGGCGGGGTCAGCGTCGGCTGGTATAGTTCTGACTGCACCAAAACAGGCTCTACTAGTGGGAGGCTTTGGAGCCTGAAAAAGAAATACGGGTGGTTTCAGATTAGACGTGTCATCATTTTCCACTCAGTCCTGTGACACATGAAACCCAGGGGAGTATAGAGGGGTGGAGTCACAGGGGCACTGGCTGAAAGCTGATTGGCCCCTGGAGTGGCCCTCCCCTGTCAATCAAAGATTCAAAACATATCATTCGTTAATAATGAGGTTGGCCCCCTCTTTATGAATTTTGGCTCCTCTTATGCCCCCCACCACCTTAAAAAAAATCTTAGAATCACTACTAATGACACCTTACTCCCAAGGTGCAGACTTTCTTTACGAGGGACCCCAGGCTGTGGGTCTTTGGGTCTTGTCGCCATTCGCAGAGGGACACGCAGCTGCCCTCTGACTGCCCGCTCAGAAGCGCGCGTGTTCGTCTGAGTCGAAGGACACGGACGACACGAAAGGGCACTGGCAAATATCGGTGGAACGGTAACAAGGAAGCCAAGGAATCAGCCCGTCGTGTCACATTGCACCAGCACAGACACTATGCATGCAGAAGTCAAAGGTCGTGTTTTCCTCTCTTCCGGTATACATTCCCCAATACTGTTCTTACTCAGCAACTGCTGCTCTTACCCTTTGACCTGGTTTTTGTTTGTTTTTGTTTTGCCACCGTTTAAGGCGGCAAAGATTCAAGGAAAGGCAGAGAACGGCCAGCGACGAGAATCCACACCACCCA